ATCCTTGGTTCCCTCTCTCTTACCCTCTGCCACCTCCTGTTCTCCTCCCACACTGTCTCTGTTATCTATGTTTGCTTTCTATACCATTTCCCCCCCACATTTTATTGAATCACCAAAGACCCTCATCAATCCAAATACCCTCCTAGCAAACACATGTGACACACACATTTCCATGAGCACAAGTCTAACTTTACACATCCTATAAATTAGCACCTAACTGGGGCTACATATCCTATTGCAGTCATTTAATAGATACATTTTGTTTTCCTGAAACTTTTTTTTTGTAAGTCAATTTGCATTCCTTCCCTAGGCATCATCACAGCACACAAGGGCAAGTCTCTTAATCTCCTCAAACCTCAGCCTCTCTGTCTATAGAATGGGAATGCTGGCTCACGGAAATGTTAGAAGGATTAGGTTGGTAGGGATTCAATAAAACACAGCAAGTTAGGATAGTTTTGACCTAAGAGGGTCTGTTATTATGATTTATTATTATTATCAAGAAAGATATCTATGTGTTTGTCTTCAGGGCAATGATGTATTCTCATTCACTTCTCAGGATTTTATTTTTTTCTATACAAGTTTTCATCCTTCATTACAGGTAGGAGTGAAAATTCTTCCCTAAATACCCTGAACCTCACTTTTTATAATTGTATGATAAAATTAAGGTTTAAGAAATTGCGGCTGACTTTTTGCCTTATTTAACCATCTTTAATAAGATGATTATGCTTTCATTACAGAACGATGAAGTAGAGTTCGTCCGAACCAGCTATGGGAAGGATATGGTCAAAGTTCTCCACATTCAGCGAGATGGAAAATATCACAGCATTAAAGAGGTGGCAGCCTCAGTGCAACTTACTCTGAGTTCCAGGAAAGATTACCTATATGGAGATAATTCAGACATCATCCCTACAGACACCATCAAGAACACAGTTCACGTCTTGGCCAAGTTCAAAGGGGTACGCTTCGTCCTCTTACCTGATGCCTCCTCTCTTGGTGCAGAATCCACTCTGAGATAGCACGGACACTACTATTGTAGCCTGAACCATTTAGCATTTTTCCTTATATTATAAAATTATCAAATTTGTAGGAAAAACTTGTATGTTTTGAACCTTTGTGGTACCCCTCCTGACATTTGTCTCACTACTATCTTTTTTTTTTTTTTGAGAGGTTTTTGCTATAGGGCATGTGCACTCGCCAGAAAGACAGACAGAGACAGAAAGCTAGAAATCATCCCCCTAGGGGGTGATTTCCATGCCACAATCCCTTCTCCTCCATTCTCCTCTCAGGATCTTGGGCACGCACACACACGCACATGCCCGACGTGAGGTTAAGCCACTGGGTCCGGGACTTGAACTGCGGTCGACTACATGGGAGTCCAGTGACATAGCCATTACGCTAACTTCTGGTCCCGTATTTTTTTTTTAAGTTTATTTATTTCTTCCACAAGCAAGAGAGACATGGAGAGACAGAGAGGACCCCCAACAGGGTTTGGGTGCCAATTTCCACCCCTAGCCTCAGCCAGCCTCAGCTTGTTGGGAACATGTGTGCCCGGCATACTCAGAAAGGTCTCTGGATACAAACCCAGACACCCTCCCCACTCCCCCAGGCTCTAACCCCTCCCTGTGGGGGTCAGTCTCACAGAATGTCACATTTTACTGCTGCCTTCCTCCCTTCACTTCAATCTTTTAGGCAGATAATCCTACTGGATATATTAGCTTGTTATCTCTAATTAGGATCATGAGCAAATCAAGATCCTAAGAGGATTTCAGAATAAAATTTAACATATTTTTGTCATGTACTTCTTTGTGTCCTATTATTTGCTTATTTATTTAGTAATGGTTAGCATTTGTAGAAGAAAGTACCATTTTTCCCCCTGTTCTTACTATGAACCAAAATTTTGAATATAAGATATATTTTATTATCAAAACCTACTTGTCCAAAATTTTTAAACAATTTAATTTTTCTTTATAGTCCCCAGAGGGGGAACCAGCAGTCAGCGTAATCTGGTCCTCATCTGCATCACAGTACATGCCTAGTGGTATAAGATCTACAATCTTTCACGTGGTACAGGAAATGCAAGAATCCACGGAATTCTTACCATGTGAAAGATTGTAGAAGAGGGAAGGATGGACCTGAATGTTGAAACAATTTAAATTCATTCTTTCCTTTTTTTTTTTTTTTCTTTTTTGAGAGAAAATTTTGCTATAGGGCACATGTGATTGCCAGAGAGCAGAGAGGGAGAAGGTGTGAAATCACATCCAACCCCCACCCCCCCAACCCTGAGGGGATGGCCACACTGCTATCCCTTCTCCTCCATTCTCCTCTGGGGATTTGGAGCATGCACGTACCATGTGCCTGGTGTGAATTTTAAGCCTCCAGGTCTGGGACTCAGATTGTGGTTGGCCATGTGGGAGTCCAGCACTTTAACCATTATACCCCCTGCTAGCCCTAAATTTATTCTTTATAGTTATAGTAACCATAAAATGTCTTATCCTAATGAGGACACTTCTGAGAGTGAAACGAGACACTATTAGTAGTTATTCTGGGATAACAGGTATAAAACCAGAATTATGCTAGGGAAATCTGTACAAATAGTTCATCCTAGTTACAGCAAATTCATTGATAATTCCTAGGCTGGGCTAGAAACATAAAATGCTGTCTAGAGATTACTGTCTGGAGAATTTGTGTGGCAGTGGGAGCCATTTTATCGGGGTAAAGAGCTGGGGTGATCCCCAGAAGGCCTATTGCATGGCAAGGAAGAGGAAATGGCCATTCATTAATATTTTCCTCAGGAAACTGGGAGGCCCATTTGTAAACCTCATAAAGAGACCAGAATAAGATGGAGTGTGCTGTGATCTGTGTGCAGGGGATAACTGAGCTCACCATGAGAAGAATCTGAATGTGAAGTAACTTTTTGCTCATCTACTGATACATCCTCTTCTGCAAAATGGGTTTCTTTTAAACACAGGGTGAATCTCACCTGGTGATGGTGATCGATTAACTATACCTGGGAGCTGTAGTGCAAATCTAGGATAAGGACCAAATCATCTTGAGGTTCTGATGTCCTGCTTGTCCTTCTAAAAGGCAATTGACCAGGAAAGAGAACTCCAGGAGCATTTAAAATCTATTGTTGAATGGGGAAAGTATTTCTAATAGCTGGCATTTTTTTCTAACAGATCAAAAGCATAGAAGCCTTTGCTGTGAATATCTGTGAGCATTTCCTTTCTTCTTTTAACCATGTCACCCGAGCTCAAGTCTACGTGGAAGAAGTCCCTTGGAAGCGTTTTGAAAAGGTTAGCTCACTAATTTATGCTCCCAGTTTAATTAAAGGAATTGGCTTTATTGCACTTGCTGAAATTTTACTGAAAACTATTCTTTCC